CTGGCAGTGCTACTGCATCTACTCCGGCACAGGCATGTCCTGATATACAACCACGATGATATATCAAGTCATAGTTCAGTCACATCACAAGCTGGCAGTGCTACTGCATCTACTCCGGCACAGGCATGTCCTGATATACAACCACGATGATATATCAAGTCATAGTTCAGTCACATCACAAGCTGGCAGTGCTACTGCATCTACTCCGGCACAGGCATGTCCTGATATACAACCACGATGATATATCAAGTCATAGTTCAGTCACATCACAAGCTGGCAGTGCTACTGTATTTATTCCTGCAGAGGCTTGTCCTGATATTCAGCCACGATGATAAACTGAAGGACATCAGGATTGTCACCTCGCATATGTTCAAAGCCACAACATAACAAAGCTATATTTTAACGCTGATTGTTGCGTTTTAAAACCGAGTAATTTTACATGATCCCATAAACACTGACAAATCCAGCTGAAGATATTCAGTTTTTATCAACACGGTTTGCGAAGAAGGTTAACTGTCCACTATTCGATCACCAATCAAAATGAGCCGCAACTTTTAAAATGTTAGAAAAAGAACCTATCTAGCCAATAGCGGGTGTGTGCTCCCCCATCTTTGATGGAGGCTCCGACACGGCGCCAAGCAGAGAAAGTCAGTCGTCTAATGGCGTACACATGGATCAGACTCCATTCTGTCCGAAATGCCTGTGATGACGCCACCCTTGTCTCGATCTGGACGTGGCCGACGTCAGCTAATCTGTCGTCCCAGGCGGTCCCACAGATGTTCTATTGGACTCATGTCAGGAGATTTTGACGACCAAGGAAGAAGGTTCACGTTGTTGGCGTTATCTAACTGGAATAACGTTTGCGGGTGACGTTAAAGAAATGGCAGTACAACTGGCGTTAACACTATATTGATGTAGTGTTCGGTGGTAAGATTGTCATCAATAACCAACAGATCCGTCTTCATGTCTCCACAAATCCCACCCCAGACCATCACACTGCCACCACCGTATGGTTCAATTTCCTGCACGCAACAACATGCCGTCCGTTCCCTTGGATCGATGCTCATGATTTCAATCACTGGGTTGTCTGGTCCAGATTTAATTATTTACAGATCGACGCTATATAGCTGGAATATTGCTGAGTGCAGCGTTAAACAACAACTCAACCAACCAACCAACCCTGGCCGCCGATAAATACACACCCTGCCAACTGTTTTGAAGAGTTGGAACCTGCACTCATCGCTAAACAGTACTTTGCGCCATTTTTTCTGCTGCCATCGCTCGACATTGCTCTCCCACCGAATTCTCTGACGTCGCGGTTCACGCGTTAACGTCATGCCCTTGTAGGCTTTCAGAACATAGTGACGAAGTCGTTTTCTTGTGGTGGGGTTGTGGTGTTGTGGTGCTGTGGTGTTGTGGTGTTGTGGTGTTGTGGTGAGGTGGTATGAAAATAATATTGTATTGTGGTGTGTTGGTGTTGTGGTGTGTTGGAATGATAATAATGTTGTATTGTGTAGTGGTGTTGTGGTGTTGTTGTGGTGTGGTAGTATTGGTATTGTGGTGTGGTGTGGTGGTGTTGTGGTGTGGTGGTATGATAGTAATGTTGTATTGTGGTGTGGTGGTATTGGTATCGTGGTTTTGTGGTGTGGTGGCATGATAGTATTGTTGCATTTTGGTGTGGTGGTATTGGTATCGTGGTTTTGTGGTGTGGTGGTATGATAGTAATGTTGTATTGTGGTGTGGTGGTATTGGTATCGTGGTTTTGTGGTGTGGTGGTATGATAGTTATGTTGCATTTTGGTGTGGTGGTATTGGTATCGTAGTTTTGTGGTGTGGTGGTATTGGTATTGTGGTGTGGTGGTGTTGTAGTATGATAGTAATGTTGTATTGTGGTGGTGTGGTGTTGTGGTGTGGTGGTATTGGTATCGTGGTGTTGTGGTGTGGTGGTATGGTAGTAATGTTGTATTTTGTTGTGGTGTGGTGGTAATGGTGTTGTGGTGTGGTGGTATGATAGTAATGTTGTATTGTGGTGTGGTGTTGTGGTGTTGTGGTGTGGTGTAGTGGTGTAGTGGTGTGGTGGTGTCGTGGTATGATATTGATGTTGTATTGTGGTGTAGTGGTGTGATGGTATGATAGTAATGTGGTATTGTGGTGGTGTAGAGTGGTGGTATTGTTGTATTTGTGTTATGATAGTAATGTTGTATTGTGGTGTGATGTTGTGATGTTGTGGTGTGGTGGTGTGGTGTTATGGTAGTAATGTTGTGTTGTGGTGTGGTGGTGTGGTGGTTTTGTGGCGTGGTGGTATGATAGTAATGTTGCATTTTGGTGTGGTGGTATTGGTATTGTGGTATTGTGGTATGGTGGTATTGGTATCGTGGTGTTGTGGTGTGGTGGTATGATAGTAATGTTGTATTGTGTTGTGGTGTGGTGGTATTGGTGTTGTGGTGTGGTGGTATGATTGTAATGTTGTATTGTGGTGTGGTGGTGTGGTGGTATGATAGTAATGTTGTATTGTGGTGGTGTGGTGTTGTGGTGTGGTGGTATTGGTATCGTGGTGTTGTGGAGTGGTGGTATGGTAGTAATGTTGTATTTTGTTGTGGTGTGGTGGTAATGGTGTTGTGGTGTGGTGGTATGATAGTTATGTTGTATTGTGGTGTGGTGTTGTGGTGTTGTGGTGTGGTGTAGTGGTGTGGTGGTGTCGTGGTATGATAGTAATGTTGTATTGTGGTGTAGTGGTGTGGTGGTATGATAGTAATGTGGTATTGTGGTGGTGTTGTGGTGTGGTGGTATTGGTTTTGTGGTGTAGTGTGGTGGTGTGGTGGTGTGGTTGTGTGGTGGTGTGGTGGTATTATAGTAATGTTGCACTTTGTTATGGTGTGGTGTTATTGGCTTTGTGGAGTGGTGGTATTGTTGTATTTGTGTTATGATAGTAATGTTGTATTGTGGTGTGATGTTGTGATGTTGTGGTGTGGTGGTGACGTGTTATGGTAGTAATGTTGTGTTGTGGTGTGGTGGTGTGGTGGTTTTGTGGTGTGGTGGTATGATAGTAATGTTGCATTTTGATGTGGTGGTATTGGTATTGTGGTATTCTGGTGTGGTGGTATTGGTATCGTGGTGTTGTGGTGTGGTGGTATGATAGTAATGTTGTATTGTGTTGTGGTGTGGTGGTATTGGTGTTGTGGTGTGGTGGTATGATAGTAATGTTGTATTGTGGTGTGGTGGTGTGGTGGTATGATAGTAATGTTGTATTGTGGTGGTGTGGTGTTGTGGTGTGGTGGTATTGGTATCGTGGTGTTGTGGTGTGGTGGTATGGTAGTAATGTTGTATTTTGTTGTGGTGTGGTGGTAATGGTGTTGTGGTGTGGTGGTATGATAGTTATGATGTATTGTGGTGTGGTGTTGTGGTGTTGTGGTGTGGTGTAGTGGTGTGGTGGTGTCGTGGTATGATAGTTATGTTGTATTGTGGTGTAGTGGTGTGGTGGTATGATATTAATGTGGTATTGTGGTGGTGTTATGGTGTGGTGGTATTGGTTTTGTGGTGTGATGTGGTGGTGTGGTGGTGTGGTTGTGTGGTGGTGTGGTGGTATTATAGTAATGTTGCACTTTGTTGTGGTGTGGTGTTATTGGCTTTGTGGTGTGGTGGTATTGTTGTATTTGTGTTATGATAGTTATGTTGTATTGTGGTGTGATGTTGTGATGTTGTGGTGTGGTGGTGTGGTGTTATGGTAGTAATGTTGTGTTGTGGTGTGGGGGTGTGGTGGTTTTGTGGTGTGGTGGTATGATAGTAATGTTTCATTTTGGTGTGGTGGTATTGGTATTGTGGTATTCTGGTGTGGTGGTATTGGTATCGTGGTGTTGTGGTGTGGTGGTATGATAGTAATGTTGTATTGTGTTGTGGTGTGGTGGTATTGGTGTTGTGGTGTGGTGGTATGATAGTAATGTTGTATTGTGGTGTGGTGGTGTGGTGGTATGATAGTAATGTTGTATTGTGGAGGGATGGTATTGTGGTGTGGTGGTATTGGTATCGTGGTGTTGTGGTGTGGTGGTATGGTAGTAATGTTGTATTGTGGTGTGGTGTTATTGGTATCGTGGTGTTGTGGTGTGGTGGTATGGTAGTAATGTTGTATTGTGGTGTGGTGGTGTTGGTATTGTGGTGTGGTGTGGTGTTATGATAGTAATATTGTATTGTGGTGTGGTGGTATTGGTATTGTTGTGTCGTTGTGTGATGTTATGATAGTAAGATTGTACTGTGGTGTGGTGGTATTGGTATTGTGGTGTGGTGTTGTGGTGTGGTGGTATGATAGTAATATTGTACTGTGTTGTGGTGTTATTGGTATTGTGTTGGTGGTGTGGTGGTATTGGTACTGTTGTGTCGTGGTGTGGTGTTATGATAGTAATGTTGTACTGTGGTGTGGTGGTATTGGTATTGTGGTGTGGTGGTGTGGTGTTATGATAGTAACATTGTATTTTGTGTGGTGGTATTGGTATTGTGGTGTTGTGATGTTTTGTTGTAATGTTATGGTGAGTCAGCTACCACATCAGACCACATTAGACCACATCAGTCTGGATGCTATCACACATTCACCTGTTGATAAGATGGGCCAAGCATAACAGGAGTAGGTAGGTCAGGGCAACGCAGGAACAAATATATTGTAATGAAAGGTTATAAAAAAAACCTGTTTCGAACTGTGTAAAAGACCCGAGTTCGATTCCTCACATGGGTACAACGTGTGTTGCTGCAACATTGCTAAAAGCAGCGTAAAACCTCACTCACTCACTCACTCACTCACTCACTCACTCACTCTCACTCACTCACTCACTCACTCACTCACTCACTCACTCACTCACTCACTCACTCACTCACTCACTCACTCACTCACTCACTCACCATTTGTCCATTCCGTTTATTTAACTTGTGAAACTGATACGGGAATGAAACTGTAAAAGCAATGACAGTCAAGGGGAAACAACTCAATGGGACATACACAACAACGCACTGGTCGCCACTGTCATTTTATTCCGTTCAGTACGTGACACGTGCCGGTACAATGCGACCGCTAGCGATAGTTGCAGCGCTTGATGCTGACGTCAAACTTGAGTGACGGAGGACAGGACATCACCACCTCCGTACCGTGGTTGCAGAGGATGTACTTAGTTGGGTCAGCGTGGGGGAGCAGTGCGCCGTTGTTGTTGCCGTTGCAGCCGGTGGAGACAGGGGTGACTTGGGAGATGGAGGGGGTGGAGGTTCCGAGGGCGGATGGTTTCACCCCAGATTGGCCAGTACACGATCTCCTGGCGTCATCCCACACTGTGCCGCTGGGACAATCCCTCATCCACAGTTTCCCAAATGCATCACACCGGATGTACCTGGACGGGTTTGGCGGGTAGGGGAAGTCGAATCGATGCTTGGCAATATTTGCAGGAGTGCATGGATTGGTGACATTGCAGGAGATCCCTCCCTCGACTGGTTCCGACCCACAGCTGATTGTGTCAGGGTTGTAGTGGGCTTTGCCGGGACATTGGGTGACGTACATGTTGCCCTTGAGGTCGCACCGGATGAACTTGGTGGAGTCAGAGGTGTGGGCGTGGTCACAGGCGTTGCCAGGGGAACAAGGGTTGGTAACATTGTAGAATGTATCTGAAACACATAAACTCTTGTAAATACCCCTCCTACACAGACAAGAAGTATCATTAACGACGTCATGTGATGAACAAAGGTTGGTAACATTGTAGAATGTATCTGAAACACATAAACTCTTGTAAATATCCCTCCTACACAGACAAGAAGTATCATTAACGACGTCATGTGATTGAGTTACACACTGCGTTTTATACTAAGTTATATACTGAGTTATATACTGAGTTATATACTGAGTTATATACTGAGTGATATATTGAGTTATATACTAAGTTATATACTGAGTTATATATTGAGTTATATATTGAGTTATACACTGAGTTATATACTGAGTTATATACTGAGTGATATATTGAGTTATATTCTGAGTTTTATATTGAGTTATACACTGAGTTATATACTGAGTTATATATTGAGTTAAACACTGAGTTATATACTGAGTTATATACTGAGTGATATATTGAGTTATATTCTGAGTTTTATATTGAGTTATACACTGAGTTATATACTGAGTTATATATTGAGTTAAACACTGAGTTATATACTGAGTTATATACTGAGTGATATATTGAGTTATATTCTGAGTTATATATTGAGTTATACACAGAGTTATGTACTTATTTATATACTGAGTTGTATACTGAGTTATATTTTGAGTTATATACTGAGTTATATACTGAGTTATGTAAAGATATATCACTCAAATGGGAGATGAAACAAAGTCATAAGAATCAACATAATAATTATGAGCAAATACGGCATGAGCTGATTGCTTTATCTATGAAGAGAAATATGAGTCATATGTACCACCTGCTAAACGTTAGATGATTTGTGTAAACGTCCAAAATTTAATAAAAACGCACCATCACAGTTGTATCCGTTATCCTCCAAGTCCTTCTTGGAGCACGGCCTTTCCTTCCCGCCTTCCTTACAGATTACCTGGGCATCTGTAGGGACAAAACAATGTAGAGAAATATTGCTATAAAGGTAACTCTATATTTCAGGGCATTGTCATTTGCAGAAGACCATTAACTGCCCGACGAAGTCTATAAAGACATTTAGACACTAATCCCTCTGGCAAACAATGCAGAATGCCTACAACGTAGGTAGAAGCGATTGTGTCTTTAACAAAATATCTTATTCCATGTGTCAAATCAGGTTACTTCCGCTACTCAGGAGCCGATAACGTTTGTAAAATCCAAATATCCCGTTCTTCATTTCGGACTGATGGTTTATGTAAAATATCTAGATTTTGGTGGATAAGATCTTGTCCCTTTCGTCCTTCTCTAACCCTGAAGGTGACCCACTTGTTGGTTGCTGGGAAATCCGCACGCTGAAACTGGCGTTGACACACGAAGCCAACTGGGCAACTGATACAGACAACCGAGTTCCAATGACAGTAATGTACAGTTGTCTCCCCTTCATCGTCTTGTTAAAGAAGATGACGCCAGGTTTGCCATCACTTGCAGTCTCTTTGATGTCATGGTAGGCAGGGCCTGGACGACGAATGGTGTAGGAAGCGTACATTTTGAGAGTGCCACACACCACCTCGCCCACCTGTGTAGTAACAATAAGGGTGAGTTACTGGGGGCACGAGGAAACATAGATTATGAAGTTGTCATTAACCCAGGAGAACGAATTTGTACTGACAGTGCAGAATATGACGTGGGTGAAACTAGAAGACAGATACTGAAGAACAGGACTATCAAACTTAACTATGAAATCGTCGTCAATGCTACATGTGTTTGTAGACAATAATTTCCATCACCCGTCAATACATTGGGTCACTTTGGTGTAGTTCCTTAACCAACGACTCAAGCAATGAGGGTGGTAATCATCACTGAGGTCATTGCTGCCACCACAGCCTTGGGTTTAGAATCCAAGGATAAACGACCACATTTGATTATCGGTCTGAAAGTTTACACACTTCGGAATTACACAGCAGAGTAGTGAAGGACGATAAGATGTACGCACTGACGATGGCATCAGATTAGGCATTGAAGAACCGACTTCCGGCAGATTTCTAATTGTACAAACTGTACGGGAACAGTCTACAGTCGCTGCTACTTACCACTGCTTTTTCTTTGCCCGGGTCGGGTGTTGTGGTGTTATCGTCCTTAAATTCAAATGCGTCCTCCACAGTCTCGTTTACGGGAAGTTGTGTGTTGATGGTCTTGTTCACCTCCACTGCAGTCAGGGCTGAGGAAACCAATGACTATTAAACATTGAGTGTTTGCAATGTATTAGGTCTGTCGTTTCACAATATGAACAAAATGGAATCATGATGTCAGACGGACTTTCCCCTCATCATTTTTTGGAATATTGGCTTATCGCAAGCATAGTTATAGCTTTTGTTAGATTTTGTTACTACACTGTTCCTAATCCTCCCATTTTGGTTTTTAACAACTACCTACCTCCACAGGAACTTTCCTTCAGTTGGTACAGGAGACTGTCAATCTCCCTGAAGCTGTTGAGCATGATCACGTGGGTACAGTAGGGATCTGTGGCCACGCCCCTCAACTCAGCCACATCAGCGTTTCCTATACCGACAGATATCATGGTAATACCTGCACCTTTAGCCTTCTTAGCAGCGTTGATTGTAAAGTTTTTATCGTTTGAATGGCCGTCAGTCATAAGGATCGCTACACGCTTGGCATTTGGCCGCGCACCTGCTGCTGGTCTGAACAGGACGTTGACAGTGTGGAGGATGGCTGCAGCTGTGTTGGTGCCACTGTCACTCTTTCTGATTTTAGCTATGGCAGACACCAGGCTGCTTTTGGATGCAAAGTCTTTGAATTCAATGTCATCCCCAACTGAGGAACCATATTCCACAGTAGACACTTTTACCTCATCTTTCGATATGTCTAGTTTTTTCGTCACATTTTCCACGAACTTGATCATGCGATTGAAGTCACTTGTGCTTACGCTCCCAGAACCGTCCAGGATGAATGCAAGGTCAAGCTGAGTCTTGCAACCTGGTGAAACACAAATGTATCAATGAAATTTTCTTCATGTATAGTCTGTAAACATCTGGGCAAGGTTCCAAAAAGTAATCTTAGCTACGAGTGTTAACGTCTATGTTAAAGTTTGAGAGTTGTGATCACCTTAGTGCTACGGAAGCTTTGCAGAACGGAGCCCTGCATGTCAACATTTAATAAAACCATATAATAAGTTAATACCATACCAATTCCTTTCATTGCTCTGGCCTTAGTAATGAATACAGACTGGTTGTAACTCGGTCTCAGCTTTAAGGCCCAGAACGAGGCTTGACTGGTGACGTCACCGGGAGGGCTGCCGCTTTGATACTTCTTTATGTAGAGAGCCGCTGCCAGCCCGGAGTACAGAGGCTTCCTCAGGTCTGACCAGGATGTGGTGCGCCAGTCGATATTGAAGGCTGATTTAGCTTTGTTACACTCAGCCACTATGGACGAGGGACAGGTCTTCGTCTCCAGGAACTTGCTTTCATCAATCTGTATCAGGGATAGCATGTGTTATGCATGTAGAACAGTAACAAAGTTACACTGTAAAATGATATATAAATTTATATTACTGTTTCAAACAAGATATTGTATCGATTATTTCTTCATTCTATTATGATGTGATTATTTGGTGTAGATCCTTATACGATTGTCAAAAGAGTTAAGACATTGACATCCATAAAGTATCTTGCTTTTGCTTTTGCTTACCAACTTCTAAAAATGCCAATTAAATGTTCAGGACATTTCAACCAAACTGGACCCTCATGATTACTTCCCTTGTGGGCACACCCACACCTGAATGGCCATGAGAAACCCCTACTGTCCCTAGCGGACTCTCCCACAACTAAATAGTCATGAGAAACCCCTATCGTCTCTAACGGACACGCCAATCACTGAGTAGCAATGAGAAATCCCTTCCGTCCCTAGCGGACACGCCCATCACCGAGTAGCCATGATAATCTCCTACCATCCATAGTGGAAACGCCAACAGCTCTGTTCCCATGAGAAACTTCACCGTCCCTAGCGGACACGCCCACAACTGAGTTGCTATGAGAAACCCCTATCGTTTATTGTGGACACGCCCACAACTGAGTAACCAGCGGACGCACCCACCAGTAAGTAGCCATGAGAAACCGCTTCAGTACCCAATGGAAAAGCCCACCACTGAGTAGCAATGAGAATCCACTACAGTCCGTAGTGAACACGCCAACCAGCGAGTAGCCATGATAAAAACCCTACCGCCCCTAATGGACACGCACACAACTGAGTAGCTCTGAGAAACCCCTACCGTCCCTAGAGGACACGCCCACAACTGAGTAGCCATGATCAACCCCTACCGTCCTTAGCGGGACACTCCCACCACTGAGAACACTAAGTTCGACTTCAGCGGACTTGTATACAGGTTCTGAATCTGGTCTAAATTTGCAGTTTTTATCATAGTGGGAAAACCCTACCGTCCCCAGTAATAACGCCCACCACAGGGTAGCCATGAGAAACCCGTACCATCCTTAGTAGACACGCCCACGACGGAGTTCCATTGAGAAACTTACCGTCTCAAGCGGACAGGCCCACAACTGAGTAGCCATGAGAAACCCATACCGTCCCTAATAGACACGCCCACAACTGAGTAGCCATGAGAAACCCCTACCATCACTAGCGGACACACAGACCACTAAGTAACCATGGGAAACCCCTACCGTCCCTAGTGGACACGCCCACCACTGAGCAGCCATGAAAAATCCCATACGTTCCGAGCTGACGCATCCACCACTGAGTAGCCATGAGTAACCCCTACCGTCATTAGCGGACAAACCTGTCTCAGAATAGCCATGAAAAACTCGATGCCATCCCTAGCGGACATGCCTACCACTGAGTAGCTATGAGAAGCCCCTACTGTTCCTAGTGGACACATCCACCACTGAGGATCCATGAGAAACTCCTACCGTCCCTAGCGGACACGCCAACAACTGAAAAGCCATTAAAAACCCGATACCACCCCTAACGGACACATCCGCCACTGAATAGCCACGAGAAGTCCCTACCGTCCCCAGCGAACATGCCCATCACTGAGTAGCCATGAGTAACCCCTGCCGTCCCTAGCGGACATGACCACCACTGTTTAGCTATGAGTAACCCCTACCGTCATTTGCGGCAAACCTGTCTCAGAATAGCCATGAAAAACCCGATGCCATCCCTAGCGGACATGCCTACCACTGAGTAGCTATGAGAAGCCCTTACTGTTCCTAGTGGACACACCCACCACTGAGGATCCATGAAAAACTCCTACCGTCCCTAGCGGACACGCCAACAACTGAAAAGCCATTAAAAACCCGATACCACCCCTAGCGGAGACGCTCACAACTGAAAAACCATTAAAAACCCGATACCACCCCTAACGGACACATCCGCCACTGAATAGCTGAGGAGGCATGAGTCCACCACAGTCCCGAGCGGATTCGCCAACCACTGAGTAGCCATGAAAAAACCCTTCCGTCCCTTACGGAGACGCCCACAACTGAGTTGCTATGAGAAACCCTTCCGTCCCTTACGGAGACGCCAACAACTGAGTTGCTATGAGAAATCCTTCCGTCACTAGCGGACACGCCCACCACTGGTTAGCCATGAGTAACCACTAACGTCCCTAGTGGACAGGCAAACCAATGAATAGCCATGAGAAACCCGAAACGATCCGTAGCGGACACACCCACCACTGAGAAGCCACGAGAAATCCCTTACCGTCCCAAGCGGATTCGCCCACCACTGAATAGCCATTAGAAACCCAATACCATCCTTCGCGGATATGTCTACCACTGAGTACCCCTTCCGCCCTTAACGGAGACCGTTAAAAGATTGTAATTGTTGTTACCCTGTCTGGCGCTCGGCATTAAGGGGCTAAAACAAGGACTGGTCGGCTCGGAGTCAGTATACTGTGTCTGAGTGGGGTATTCATGTTAAACTGCGGCATCGTATCTCAGTGAGCTAGCACTAAAAATCGGCATCAGTCCGGACTAGTACAAGCAGCCACACACACACATACACGTGCATGCACGTCGCTATATAAGTGCAATAATCTTGGACGCGACGTTAAACCCAATTTCACCTCACCTCACCTTAACGGAGACGCCCACAACTGAGTTGCTATGAGAAACCCTTCCACCTCTAGCGGACATACCCACCACTGAGAAGCCACGAGAAATCCCTTACCGTCCCAAGCGGATTCGCCCACCACTGAATAGCCATTAGAAACCCGATACCATCCTACGCGGATATGCCTACCACTGAGTAGCCATGAGTAACCCCTTCCGCCCTTAACGGAGACGCCCACAACTGAGTTGCTATGAGAAACCCTTCCGTCCCTAGCGGACATGCCCACCACTCAGAAGCCATGACAAACCCCTACCGTCCACAGCGGACACACCCACCACTGAGAAGCCACGTGAAATTCTCACTGTCGCCAGCGGACACGCCCACCACTGGTGACCCATGAGTAACCACTCCCGTCCCCAGCGGACACGCCCACCACTGGTTAGCCATGAGTGACCACTACCGTCGCTAGCGGACACGCCAACAAATGAATAGCCCTGAGAAACCCGAAACTATCCGTAGCGGACATACCCACCACTAAGAAGCGTCGAGGAATCCCTACCGTCCGAAGCAGGACACGCCCACCACTATGTAGCCATGAGAAACCCGAAACGATCCGTAGCGGACACACCCACCACTGAGAAGCCACGATGAATCCTTACCGTCCAAAGCCGACACGCCTACCACTGTGTAGCCATGAGAAGTCCCTACCATCCCTAGCGGACATAGCACCAATGGGTAGCCATAAGAAACCCCTACCGTCCACAGCGGATACGCCCACAATTGAGTTTCTATGAGTAACCCTTCCGTTCCTTACGGAGACGCCAACAACTGAGTTGCTATGAGAAATCCTTCCGTCACTAGCGGACACGCCCACCACTGGTTAGTCATGAGTAACCACTAACGTCCCTTAACGGAGATGCCCACAACTGAGTTGCCATGAGAAACAGTTCCGCCCCTAGCGGACATACCCACCACTGAGAAGCCACGAGTAACCACTCCCGTCCCTAGAGGACACGCCCACCAAAGAATAGCCAGGAGAAACCCGAAACGATCCGTAGCGGACACACTCACCACTGAGAGGCTATGAGAAATCCCTACCGTCCCAAGCGGACATGCCAACCACTGTGTAGCCATGAGAAGTCCCTATCATCCCTAGCGGAAACACCCAGCACTGAGTAGCCATGAGTAACCCCAATCGTACCTAGCGTTCACGACCACCACTGTTTAGCTATGAGTAACCCCTACCGTCATAAGCGGGCAAACACACCACTGAAAAGCCATGAAAAACCCGATACCATCCCCAGCGGACATGCCTACCACTGAGTAGCCATGAGGAACCCCAACCGTCCATAGCGGACAACGCCCACCACTCAGTAGCCATGAGAAATCCACAACGCCCCTACTGGACACGCCCACCACTGAGTAGCCATGAGTAACCCCAACCGTCCCTAGCATACACGCCCACCACTGAGCACCTGTGGGTAGCCTGTACCGTCCCTATCGGATACTGTGTGGCCATGAATAACCGCTACCGTCCCTAGCGGACACGGCCACCAGTGAGTAGCCACGAAGAACCCCTACCGTCCCTACCGGCAACGCTCACCACTCAGAAGCCATGAGAAACCCCTGCCGTCCCCAGCGGACACACCCAAAAGTGAGTAACAAGTAGAAACCCTACCGTTCCTAGCCGACGCGCCCACCACTGAATAGCCATGAAAAACACGATGCCATCCCTAGCGGACACATCCACCACTGAGTAGCAATGAGAAGCCCATACCGTCCCTAAGGACACACTTATCACTGCGTAGCCTTTGGAAACCTGTACCGTCCAAAGCGGACTCAACCAGCACTGAGTAGCAATGAGGAACCCCAGCCGTCCCCAACGGACACGCCAACCATGAGAAGTCCCTATCATCCCTAGCGGAAACACCAATCACTGAGTAACCATGAGTAACCAAAATCGTACCTAGCGGACACGACCACCACTGTTTAGCTATAAGTAACCCCTACCGTCATAAGCGGGCAAACCCACCACAGAAAAGCCATGGAAAACCCGATACCATCCCAAGCGGACATGCCTACCACTGAATAGCTATGAGAAGCCCCTACTGTTCCTAGTGGACACATCCACCACTGAGGATCCATGAGAAACTCCTACCGTCCCTAGCGGACACGCCAACAACTGAAAAGCCATTAAAAACCCGATACCACCCCTAACGGACACATCCGCCACTGAATAGCCACGAGAAGTCCCTACCGTCCCCAGCGAACATGCCCATCACTGAGTAGCCATGAGTAACCCCTGCCGTCCCTAGCGGACATGACCACCACTGTTTAGCTATGAGTAACCCCTACCGTCATTTGCGGCAAACCTGTCTCAGAATAGCCATGAAAAACCCGATGCC